TTCAGCGCTATATTCTAATACTTTTATTATTCATCCTTACTCCACTCTTATTGGTGTAAATATAAGCATATTCTGCACTTAAAAGATAATTCATTTGAATCTCTTCACACAGAGTTATGCTYAATTTGTATTGCAAACATGGAATGTCCTCTCTTATGTGCATTGTGATAATTATTTGTATCCATTTGAAAAGATATTGTTTAAGTCTTGACCTTCTCCTCAGAGGTAACGCTGTCATTATACAGATCTTCTACCTGCTTAGCAAGGTCAGCTCCTCAAAATTAAATTAGAAATCCCACTTCAAATTCTTTTTATTACACAATCATCCACATGATGCATATGCTAACTGTGGATTAGAAATTTTACACAGGGGAAGCCATAAGAAGCCATTAGGTAAGGAGATTGATAATATCTGGGTGTTCTGGAGCCTAAGGGTTCAGCAGTTTGTCATTTTATATAGTAGATTCTGCCTGAAAAGAGAACTGATACTTCAGTCCAGCTTATCTTCCCACACTGAAAACATATTTTTTTCTGGAGTATCACCCTGAGCACCATTGTGGTGAAAACTTACATTCAAAGTGGGGAGGGGGATTAGGGATGCAGATCTGACAACCCAAAAGAGAATCCCTGAACTAGGGGCACCATCTACAGGGCAACAGACTGACACTGACTCAGATCAGTCCAGCATCACATAGCTGACATATGTGCATTGCAAATGCAGGTTGATTTGGCTACATTCAAACACCCCCTCACAGAGTACTTCTGTTTTAATTTTCGTTTCCGCTGCCACTGTGTCCAGGAGTCTTGGGCACAGAGCAGGAGCGCTCAGTGTCAGCTGCTATACAAATGCAGATAAAAGGCTCCATCTCTGCCTAAATAACTTAGAAGCAGCAGCAGATGTGTACAGATCAAACAGAAGAAAACAATGAAATCAGATGACAAACTGAGACAAACATCAGAGAGCGGACTAACAAGTTCTTTCATTTTACCTTTGATATTTAGCTATAATTAGAACAATAAAACCCAACATTTGTTCTCCACTCTCTCTACCCAAACCGTAATCACATACATTGTTAGAAAAATCATCTTCACCTTCAAAGATTATTTACTTCATATAACAATTGTGTTAGTTGTGTATAGCTGAATAGTTACTCCAATATTCATTAACTTGACTGAAGGTTAATTCTCGCTTTGGGGATGTAGCTTTCTCTCTCTGCTTTCACATTTTTCATATTATCCTTCTAAGTATACCATCATCACCCAGCAGGTATTATGTAAACTTTACTGAAACCAAGAGTGTGACAACAGAATACTAAATTGGGATTCCAAGTGTTTAATTTTCAGCTATACAGACCAGCCCTTGGATTCCCAGTGAACTGGAAAAAACCTCAAAACAATCAAGAGCAGACATTTAATATGCTGTGAGAAGTTTCAAAAACATATTAAACTCCTTAAACTCCTGCATTCAGAATTCAATTTGAAGAGCTGTTCCATTTCCCTAAGCAAAACCCAACTCCTTTATCTTCACACAAAAGAACATCTCTCAAAATGAAAAACTTGAGGATGGAAAAGACCAAATCAAAGGACAAATAGGATTAAATTACATGATAGTGGAGAAAAAAATAAAGCATTTTTATGTTAATGACATAATCTGTATATTGTGCAAAGCCAGTGAATCCCAACAGTCACAGTTCAGTTAGTTTACAGATCTAGACTCTGCCTGTTAAGTTAATTAACATGCCACCAGTTTTATTTACTTATTTACCTGCCAGTGATTTGCTCTCATTATTTACCTGGCTTCCCATCTTATACATTCATTTGTGGCAGTTGTGACACTTGGTCACACAAAGGCTGACCTACAAATATAAAAATGTCAGAGCTCTGATTGCTTTTTTTTTTTATGTGTAATAACTGCTGTTGCTCCTGAATTAGCCTCAGTTCAGTGACTGTCATTCTAGTATCTGCTCTTTATATACCATAAAACTTGCCAGGATAGGCCCAACAATATTGGTTTCATTGGCTTTGGCCCAGGCTTTCTCCTTCTTTATGGATCAAGCAGGAGTCTTTCATTTCCAAAATCTAGGCTTTATGGCTCATATTGCTTTTAATCTTGAGGTTTTATCTTGAAGTCATAGTATACAGAAAGTAAAAAAGAAAAATGACAAAGACAAATATTGCATCATTTCTGGCCTTGCTTTTTTTTTTTTAATTCAATTTTTTTCCAGATACTCGTGTATCTCTGGCTCAGTCAAAGTCTAAAACAAAAACAAGACATATGAAGAATACAATGGAGTCTAGTTCTTAATTTGTACATAGTAGGATTCCTGATGGAACTTTTGAATGGCCGACACAATTTAAAATTTTCTTCTGAAGCACTAAAACACATTAAATTTTTTTTAAAATGCCAAACAAAACAACAAAATAGATCCTGGTTTTAGAATACAATTTCTTTCTGGATTCGCATGTTTCTTCTTTTTTTCTCATAATAGGATACTTTCTTCTTCCCTAAACACAACTGTGGAAGACTTAATAATAATAAATACAGTGATCTATGTTTCATTATTTTAGTGGCTAGCATTTGGCTAGCACTCCAAGCATTCACCAAATGGCTCCCGAGCTCTTCTCCTCAAATCTCACAGCTTCCTTTGGTATAATTAATACACTGACTGGATGGCAACTACCTATTTCCTTGAGAATGAAGTAGTGAAATAAAACTTGCAGGACTGAAAACCTTTTTCTGTATGAATAAATCTTTGAACCTGAAAGGAACCAAAGGAAGTAACTGTTGCAGCAATTCCCTCATTGCAAACAATGAAGCTCAGAAAATAATAGGCAAAAACCCTCCTACTACTCTTCCAGCCCCCAGCTGCTTTTTTTTTTTTTTTTTTTTTTTCTTTTTTTAATATAGCTGAACAGTGATGTGTCGACTACCATATTCAGAGAGTGAAAAAGTGATGATATACTCTCCGGGGCTAGTACTATATAGCATTCCTGTTCCTTACTGTCTGTACACTAAGGAAGGGCTATTGGGCTTCAGTGATGTTTCTTGTCTTTGCCCAAATACTAAGACAGCGTACAATGTGTCATGCCTTGTGAATGTCAGACTTCCACAGACTTCTGGCTGTGTGGCTGTTAGAAACTCGGCATCAAGTCCTCATAATTACTAGCACTGAAACGTGTGGGTTTTTTAACTGACCAGATAAATGATCCTAGAGAAAATAATCTTCCCTATCTATTGTATTTGGATGGAGAAAACAGCAACACTTTAAAATCACTTCTGCATATGCAGTTTGAATTATGGTTGTTCCTCCTTTCCGTAGCTCACTAAAAGCTTTGCAACGTAATTTCTTTTGCATTTGCTTTCCTTCTCTCCTCTCATGATCTAATGTGCGCAGGAAAGAAAAACTGATGTTCTGACTAATACACCTAAGAACAAATGTCTGGCACTGATGTGATCAGAAAAGCTGAAATGGAAAAGGGCTGTGATTTTGAGAGTCAAATCCCAGCACGAAAGTATGGATGGGGAATGGCAGGATACGGTTCCGTCGAAGGCACAATAAGGAACCCACGAGATGTGCCTGGGGGCTGCGTGACTTTCCCAGTTACCTGCTGCTGATGGCATACGGGCTCCTCTGTTTGCCAACATCTGCTATCTACCCTATTAAAGGGTAGATAAGATGTACTTTAGATAATTTCCACTCTCATGTACTAACTGAAACAAACTAAGTGTTTTAAAATAGATTACTACTGTCTCAAGTTCTCTTAGAATAACTGTAATCCAGCAGGATCACGTACAGAAGTGCATCAAACCTGGGCTACAATCTCTATGTTCAATATCCTATGACCAATCAAAGTTTAAGGGAAACTCTTACACAAATACCACCTTGCTATGTTTAGAATTTTGCAGGTAAAATTGTTTTCCTCTTTGAGGAATATTGCTTGTTATCCTCTTCGAGGGTATAAATGGGGCAATAATATATGCCGAGGAACAAAGAACTTCAGTCCGTTATGTTTTTAAAAGCTAAGCTTACATCTAAATCTATTTCCATTTCCCTCTGGAGCCTGAGCAACTTTTTATGTTATATTAAACATTAGACAAATAGGGTAGATCTAATTAAAAGTTGAAGAAATGTGCTTTCCTTAATTGAATTTGTTACAGTTACATTTCGCAGACCAATGTTAATCAAAGCTCCAGTTCAGAGTGGATGGATCAAGGGAATTACGTTAACCCTTGCATGCCCTTACCTGAACACGCGATACGGTCTGCTCTCGCCTAAGCCACAGACGCCAATTACGACTCACGGCTCGGTCGCGACCACCCGGTGCGGGAAGCCCAGGGGCGGCCGCGCCGGGAGGGCTGCGCACCGCAGGCTCGCTAACAGTACCAACTACGCCTGCCGGGCTCGCCCCAGCCCCGCGACCTACGGGCGAGGGCCACCGCCGCCTCACCCGGGGCACCCGGATCGCCCGACGGGCTGGCGGCACAGCGCCTCGTGCCGCCCGGCAGCAGCCCCGCACCGGCCCCGGGGATGCCGGCCCTGCCCGCCGCGCCCGGGGACACTATCCTCATCCTCCGCATCCCCGTCCTTCTCCCCCGCCCGCCGCCGCCCGGCCCCGCCCGACGGGGCGGACGGGGACCCGCGGCCACGGGATGGGCGAGGCCGGCGCGGCGGCTCCACCCATGGTGGGCGCCGGGCGATTGGCCGCGGGAGCGCGTCTCCCCGCCCCGCAGCCAATGAGGGCGGCGGGCCGGGGGTGATGGGCTGCCTCTCGCGGGAGGGATTCCTGGAGACGCTGCAGTGTGGCGGCGCTCCCGGCGTCGCGCAGCCCCCGTGCCGCCTCCCCGCCTGCCTCGCCTCGCCCTGCCCGCCGGCGGTCGCCACCGCCGCTGAAACTTAACGCCCAGCGCGCCGCCAGCCCGCCGAGCGCAGGGGGCTGGGGCAGCCTGCCCGCCGTGCCGGGGGCGGCCCGCCCGCCCGCGCCGCGCACCGCAGCTTCGCCTCGGGAGCTGCCGCTGTGGGGAAAGGCTGAAGGACGGAGCCGCCTGCGCCCGCCCCGGTTGCCAGGTAAGGCAGCGCT